ACCACCAGCCACACGCGGACACGGGTTGAGCCACTCAGCCCGATGGGCGGGGAGTCGTGAATGCTGTCTAAGGAGGGGATTGGTGGTGGGGGGGGGCGTGTGCCTTGGGCTTCACCACGATCGTGACGCGCTGCCCTCGGTTGGTCGTTTCGCTCCAGCTCAACAGAGAGTAGTACTTGGAGACACCGTGGCAGATCTTCCTGTCTGCGTGTGTGGCATGCGCACGCGCAGAGGGCGACGCGAGTGAGAGGAGGACAGAAGGAGAGAAGGAGGAGGAGGGGGAGGAAGGAGAGGGCAAGAGGGCAAGGGCCAGGCGGGAGGAAGCCTCGGGCATGGTGATCGGCGTAGGTACCTCGGGAGTTGTGCAGGAGAACGACCAAGTACTCATCGCCGAGCTTGGGGCGGGCAGAAGCGGGCAAGCACGAGGCCGACAGAAAACTGCAGTACCCGACCACCTCCATGCCCGACCCGGCCAAGTTCGGGTTGGTCGCCATCTTTTGCCCCCCCCCCCTCACAACGACACGCACGGCATGAGCAAGCGCATGTGGCACACATGCGAGGAGGAGGTTCCCCTCCGCCCGCTCTCACGCGTCGTACGTACATGACATCCGGGCATGAAGCGGTCGAAGAAGGCCGCCTCAAGTCGGCATATGAGCTCGTAGTTGTAGTTGAGGAGGGCCTCCCTCAATAGCTGCCGCGTGGGCGAGCTCAGTTGGATAAAGGCGGACCACGCTTCGGCCAAGGGTTCCCCCGGCGCCGCGCCTGTACCCGTGCGGTGCGATGCGGTGCGGTGCGTGAGAAGACAGGAAGGAAATCGAGAGGAGAGCGAGAAAAAGCATGATGACGATGGCGATGACGACGATGATGACAATTGGGGGAGGGGGGGGGAGTACCGCAGTGTGCGCGTTGGCCCCTAGGGCTTGGTCCGGGTGCGATTCGCAACAGCAGCCGGCGCTCCTGCTCCTCTGTGGTGCTGCGGAAGGGCTGCGCTCCATCCCCCCCCCCCGAGCCGAAAGGACGGTCCAACGGGTCAGTGGTGGTGGGTGGGGTGGTGGATAGCGAGTCGTCAGGAGTGGCAGCCCACGCACCTCCCAAGCGGAGCGATTTTCGGCCGTGAGGAGCTGGTGGAGGGGAGAAGTGCGCTCCTCGAGCTCGAGCTCGGTGGTGGCGTCGTCGTCGCTCGAGTTGGCGGTCAAGAAGGCGACTTAGTGGCGGGCGGGCGGGCGGGCGTGATGCAACTCCAGTCTCAGCCAACACGCGTGTAAAAGGCACACACGGGATTGGGGGCAGCGCGTACGGTTGAGGTAGCGCCGGTGGCGCCGAGAGCCTGGCAAACCCGTGCGCTGGCGCGACGCAAGCGAATCGCGCTGGTGGCGTGCTTCTGCGCGCGCGCAGGCATGTTTCGTTCAGTTACTCTAACGCAGCAGCCGCTGCAATCTCTTCTTCTCTCTCTTCTTTCTTCTCTCTACGTGTGTGTGTGTGTGTGCATGGTGTGGGCGTGTGCACGCAAGGGGAACCCGCCACCAATCAAGACCAGCAGGTGGGACGGACGTGCACCTCGTGGGCCGTCAGCCACCAGGAATGTTGAATTAAAAACCTTGGCCATGTGGATGTAGGGTCGTCGCTAGAAGATGGCGGCGTGAGATGCGATTGCCAGCTCTTTGTGGGGTACGAAACAAAAGCGGGGTTATTCAAATTTTGCTTTCCTGCCCTGGCCGTCACGGAAATCATAACAAGAAGAAACAGGGAAATTGCGGAAGAAATAGCAGGTCCACAGAAAGCCAGTGGGCGTGGATGTCGCACATGGCAGCGGCAGCAGGTGCTGGCACGCCAAGTCTGGCTGGCCAGTCCACCACAACACATACCTATACATTGTGGTGCCACGATGCACACGGGAAGATGAGCGCCGACGAGCTGGTGGTGAGTCCCGAGGTCTTCCCCAGCATCAGGGCGGGGGACCTGCTTTTCATGTGGGATCCCGCTCTTTCGTCCGCTACTTCGTCGTCATCCGCAGCAGCTACGGCGGGGAGTAACGGTGGCGGCGCAGTCCTCTCCCCCAGCCCCCCACCTCCGCTCATCAGCGCTCGTAGGCGAAGGCGGCGGGAGCAAGAGAGAGGTGCCCTTCTTCTCGCCGTCAGTCGACTTCACGGCCCGCCGCCTTCAGCCCCCTCCGTTGCTCCAGCAAAAGGTGCGACACGCACACACAGCACAGGCCACGCGGCATCGACACACGCGCCCAGGCCCCTTGGGGGCGGCAACGCCTGCAACATAAGCTAACCCTCCTCTCCTTCCCTCTTTCTCCCTCTACTCGCTCCTCCCCCCTCCCCCCCAATCCTCCTCCTCCTCATCTCCGCCGGACCAACGTTGGCGCGCGCGCGCGTGCAGGAAGCGGGTTCGCAGGTAACCTGAACTACATGAACACCCTGCAGATCAGCCTCAGCAACAAGATCGCCGACCTGTTTGGCTTTGTACAACGGCAAGCCATCGCCGCCGAGGTCCTCACGCCAGAGACAGCACCGCAGGTGCTACTTGCTCTCCCACCCAGCTCGCCCCATGCTGCAGCCTCGCTCCGCACCACCCTTGCACTCTCCCACTCCTTCCTCCGGTCTCTCGTTCGGTTGGGTGTCGTGTCGTTGGTCGTGTCGTGTCGTCACACCGCTGATATGCTCGAGGTGCCCGTGGCCGTGGCGGTGGCGGTGGTGCGTGCCAGGTGGACTTTGTGGAGGTGGTGTTCAGGGATCAGTACGTGGGTCGCTCGGACATGTGGCGTCTGCAGCTCTCGTTGATAGGCTCGCCCATCTACATCCAAAAGCCCATCTCCTTCTCCTGCATTCGGGTGCGGCTCCTCTTTCTCGCTGTAGCGAATGTGGCGACTCGGCCGCTTCTCTTACGTGCCTAACTCGACGTTCACACACACACACACACACACCGTGCGGTCTGCCGTGCGTACGTATCAGGCGACCGTTTCGGAGCTGTTGAGGAAGGGCAAGCCGGTGCGGAGCGGGTTCGTGACGCGCGACACCAAGTTCGTGTTCCGCTCGCGCTCGGCCAAGTTCTACCTCCTCATCCAAATGAGTTCGGAGATGTGGGACTTTGCCGAGGACGGGGAGCTCTACTTCGAGAAGGTGAACCTCTTCCTGCGCTCCATGTTCTCCAAGTGGAAGGCCTCGTCGGCCAACCACACCCTCTGTCTCGTCCTCTTCTCTCGCCTCTACCTCGCCGAGTACGCACACCGCCACACCCTCCCCCCTCCCCCCTTTAATCTACCCGCCCGCCCGCCCGCCCGCCACCCGGCCCACTCTCTGCCACGCGATCCCTCTCTCCGTGCGGGGGGGGTCCTCACGCTCATCCCCCACCTTCCCTCCAATCTGCGGCACCACCACGCACCACCACCACGCACCACCACCACGCACCACCACCACGCACCACCACGCACCACCAGGGACGCCAAGCTCGAGGGTAACCTCGGAGAGCTGCAGACGGACCCTGACGGGCTTCAGTACCGCGACTTCTACAAGGTACCATCACTCCCGCCGCCCGCCGTGGCGCCACATGGGAGGAGCTTCCTTCCCCTCCTGCTCCTGCTCCCCTGGACGGCGATGGAGATGCTGATTGACTGATTGGGACTCCTCCGCCCCTCTTCCGCCTCCTCCGCCTCCTCCGCCTCCTCCTCCTTCCCCATCCCATTCCGTCCCGTCTCTCCTCCTTGTAACTTCAACTTCTCCTCTGGGCCGCCGCCGCCGCAGGTGCTGCTGCTGGACGAAAAGAAGTCGGACTGGGAATCGGTCATCCTGCAGCTCAAGCGGGAGTTCATCCAGTACCCGCGCAGCCTCCGCTGGGACCCTCACGCTGACGGTGCCCAGCCCTGCTACAACAGCACGGCGAGGAAGGGAAACCTGCTCGAAGCCATCAACCTCGCCCTTCTCGACCTGGACAAGGTACGCGTGCCTGCCTCCCAAGGGCCATACCCCCCCCCCCAAACATCCCATCGCCACATGACCACGCGCCTACCTCGCGTCCTCTCTCTCTCTCTCTCCATTTTTCTCCTTCTCCTCCTCCTCCTCCTGAATGAACGAATGGCGCGAGGCTTACCGCCCGGGCCGCGGTGTGCAGGACTTCATTGATCGAGACCTCAAGCAAACGGGCCAGGGAATCGTGGCCATCTCCGGCGGTTCGGGTCACTTTGAGGTGTGTGCCAAGATGATGCAGATGACCAAGCAGAAGATCATCGACCACGGCATCGGCTGTGACCTCATCTGCCTTTCCAAGCCGCCCCTCCACATGGCACGCCCCCCCCCCAATCCACCCACTCACCCCTCTGGACTGTCTTTGTTGGCGGTGGCGCCTGCGTACGGTCCGCTCACACTCCCCATCCCCGTCCCCGTCCCCAT